TCACGTATCCGTGCTCAGACTCGTTTGGCAGAAAAGTTAGCCTAACTTTTTGATTGGTCAACGCGCGTTAGCGCGCCAACTCAGTGCGCTAGCACCTGTCAACCGCAGGCTGATCCATCTGAGACAACGTGACACGCTCTAGATTCGCTCATTAGCTAAGCGCCAAGAGGAATGCAGAATAAGGTAAAAACGCTTGGCAAACAAAGGGAGCAGATGGTTGGTGACCACGGCCAGACCGTCTTGTACACCTGGTTTGATAACATGTAATGCACGTCAATGGATTTGATCTGCACGTTATGGGGCCTAGATACCTACATGAGACGCGCTTCAGGCTGTCGCGAGGTCTCCGGTACTTGATCAATGGTTTGCTTCTCATGGTGGCGACTGACCGGTCTTCGGTTAGGTCAATGCATCTACTATACCCTCACGGAAGCGAAAGATCTGACAACATCCCTGATACACCACATGTCTCGCGCTCGGTGTCAGTAGGACCTACAAGTGGGGCAATTTCAATTCTGTAGATCGATCCATTGGATACTTCATGTTCACGTATTGTTCGATGGCAGACTCCCTATCACGCCCACCAATGGCATGAACTGACTGCTCTGAGGTACACCTTGGGGGGATATTGTGGTTCTGTCTCTGCAGTGCGATGTCGAACTGACAGATGCTGGGTTGATCGATTCAAGGCGGATACAAGTCGCCAGACACGCTGCCCAACAGCTCAACTCCTTCACCTTCGACGTGCTTTCACCATACATCATGGAGATGAGACCGACACTCATTCGCAGCACGAGAACCTCCCATAGCTCTACATCGAGTGGTTTAACAGCGTGTGCGCAAGGCGGCCTAGCCGAAGCTCACAAACTCCTCAACGACGACCGCTCGCGTGCGCTCTCTCCACAAGAACCTCTCCTCATCCTCCTTGACCAGCTTCCCATTCTCACCCTGCCCCAGCGCCATCAACCAGCGCATCTTTGCCGCCTCGTCGGCGAATCCAATCTCGGTCATGACATCAAAGTCGACGTTACCCGGGTCCAATTCCAGCTTGGCCGCCGCGGCGCCATCACCGGAGGACGTCGGAGTGGCCACCGGCGTACCTCTGGCGTCGACGGTTGCTCGCACAAAGACAAACGCCGGGTCGTCGCGGTGGGTGTACCGCCTCTTGTACACCAGGGGCTGGTTCTCTGGGCCGGCGAGACGGTTGATCATCGGGATGTGCTTCGTCTCATAGTAATTGATAAACTCTTGGGTGGACAGGTGGGGGAGCTTGACCAGATAGGCAAAAGTGGTGTGCATGATGGGCCGTTTCTTTGTCCTGTTTGTTTTAGTGTTCAAAGAAACTGTGGGTTGGTGGAGGTGGGAGATGTAGTTGGATTTGAGACCTGTCCGTTACCTCAAATATATATGTCCGCTGGGGTGGGAAGAAAGGAAATTATCGAGAATCAATCTTTTCGAGCGAGATCCGTGTATCCTCAGAAGAAGAGGTATTCCCTCTATATCTCTCCCTGTGAACAGAATCGTTCGGGGGCTCAATGATATGCTATGTCTGGACTCGTCGTTAGTGGCATCGAAAAGGACACGTCTCTACAACTTCAAGTCCAGTCCTTTTTAGTCATCAAAGAAACCGCCGTTGTTAGGAGCGCTACCGATGTTACCTCGAATCATGTCGATTTTGGCCTCGAAAAGAACTCAGACTGGTCATGGCGGTGAAAAATAGGCACGCAATATAGCCATGTTTGGTAGGAGGTCCTTTTTCCTAGGGTATAGCGAAGTCATGACTCAACGCGTGGGTCGACAAGGGGTAAGGCGGGAAGAGAGGTCATATAATACGAGTGGATCTGTGTCGGGCCCTTATAGACATTGACACCACGTTGCAGCCGACCCCAAAATGGCCATGAGGTGGGTTGCCGTGTCCTTGAGCTGGGAAACAGGAGATATTTATATACAAGCACAACAACTTGAGAAGGACAACTGCCAACACAACGAACAGCATGTCTTGGATCCAAATCGACACTTCTTTCCACAACGAGATCGTTTTGCTGCCAGCCAGACCGTAGTCGGAATATTGTGGCGCGAAAATGAATCCAACTCAATCGTGAATAACCCGACGATCCTCAACAATCCTAGAGTTTGTGGCTAGTGGCTGGTGAGGCGACATCGCCAGATGCGATAATCGGAATGCCGGAGTGTCGGGATATCGGAGGTGATCTGGCGCCGACATGGCACACTACATACATGTATGAGGTGCTGGAGCAGTGACGCACAATAGAAACAACGCGGAAATACAAGTACAATACACACATAATATAACAAGTCGCGCAGCATATTTTGAAATGGATTGTGCATTGAAAAGCTAATTCTAAGCTCTGTCATCCCGATTCTCTGACTTTCCCCTGTAACCATCATTTGTTGAGATGGATTCCATAAACCTCACTAATTCATTCCATGCACAGGATGATGCCGAAAAAACTCTATGCCATGCAAAGAGGTATCATTCCCATATCCCATTGACAACGCCAACGCCGGTATGATTGACACAAGAATTCAAGCCGCTCATGCTCATGTGCTTTTGGTCGTTATGAAGCCATTTAGTCAACCTCTTCGACAGTTGGACCATCATCGCCGTGGCCAGCACCACCAGCGCCAGGGAAGCCACCAGGACCGCCGGGCATACCACCGCCGGGCATTCCACCGGGCATGCCACCTTCACCACCAGCACCGTAGAATTTCATCATGATGGGGTTGGCAACACCTTCAAGCTCCTTCTGTTGAGACTCGTACTCTTCCTTGGTGGCAGTCTGGTTCTCGTCGAGCCAGGAGATGATCTTGTCGATTTCAGACTTGAGCTTCTCCTTGTCAGAAGCATCGAGTTTCTCGTCAACCTTGGAGTCGGCCAAAGTGTTCTTGAGAGAGTAGGCGTATGACTCCAAGCCGTTCTTGGCAGCGATACGGGCGGCTTCAGCTTCGTCCTCGGCCTTGTACTTCTCGGCCTCACTGAGCATGCGCTCGATTTCTTCCTTGGAAAGACGACCCTTGTCGTTGGTGATGACGATCTTGTTGGACTTGCCGGTTCCCTTCTCGACGGCGGAGACGTTCATGATACCGTTGGCATCCATGTCGAATGTAACCTCGATCTGTGGAACACCACGGGGGGCGGGGGGGATGCCGGAAAGTTCGAACTTGCCGAGGAGGTTGTTGTCCTTGGTGCGAGCACGCTCACCCTCGTAGACTTGGATGAGCACACCAGGCTGGTTATCGGAGAAGGTAGAGAAGGTCTCGGACTTCTTAGTGGGGATGGTGGTATTGCGCTTGATCAGAGGAGTCATGACACCACCGGCAGTCTCAATACCTAGGGACAATGGGGCAACATCCAAGAGCAAGATCTCGTTGGTAGATTTGGATGAGGTATCACCGGACAAGATGGCGGCTTGGACTGCTGCACCGTAGGCGACAGCCTCGTCGGGGTTGATCGACTTGTTGGGCTCCTTGCCGTTGAAGAAGTCGGAAACAAGCTTCTGGATTCTGGGGATACGAGTGGAGCCACCAACCAAGACGATCTCGTGGACAGATGACTTATCAATCTTAGAATCACGTAGGACACGCTCGACTGGCTCCATGGTGGATCGGAAAAGGTCCTGGCAGAGCTCTTCGAATCGGGCTCGGGTGATTGAGGTGTAGAAGTCGATACCTTCGTAGAGGGAATCGATCTCAATGGAGGTTTGAGCCGACGAGGACAGCGTGCGCTTGGCGCGCTCACAGGCGGTACGGAGACGGCGCAAGGCTCGGGCATTGGAACTAAGATCCTGTTGAAAAATTAGCGCATGCTCAATACAACGTGGGGTGGAAGATGCGGGGGGAATGGGGAAGGTGGAATTTATCGAAATTTTGTGACAGCCTTGCTAACTTTGAAGCTATACAAGGCTGGTACAAAATTCTGACACCACCGGGGGATGGGGCAATGGGAAGAAGATTAAGGAAAAGAGCCTGCATACCTTCTTATGTTTCCGTTTGAATTCGTTAACGAAGTGGTTGACAAGACGATTGTCGAAGTCCTCACCACCCAGATGAGTATCGCCGGCGGTAGACTTGACTTCGAAGATACCTTCCTCGATGGTCAGGAGTGAGACATCGAAAGTACCACCACCAAGGTCGAAGATGAGGACATTGCGCTCGCCCTCAGCCTTCTTGTCAAGACCGTAGGCAATGGCGGCAGCAGTGGGTTCGTTGATGATACGCAGGACGTTAAGGCCGGCGATCAGACCAGCATCCTTGGTGGCTTGGCGCTGAGAGTCGTTGAAGTAGGCAGGGACAGTAATGACTGCGTTGTTGACTGTGCCACCGAGGTATGACTCCGCAGTTTCTCTCATCTTGGTCAAGACCATGGAGGAGATCTCTTCGGGTGTGAACAGCTTCTCTTCGCCTTTGAACTCCACCTGGATGACAGGCTTGCCACCCCTGTCAACAACCTTGAAGGGGAAGTGCTTCATATCGGCTTGGACTTCGGGGTCGTTGAATTTACGACCAATCAGTCGCTTGGCGTCAAAGACGGTGTTGTGGGGGTTCATCGCGACTTGGTTCTTTGCGGCATCGCCGATCAGACGCTCTGTGTCGGTGAAAGCAACGAACGAGGGGGTAGTCCGGTTGCCCTGATCGTTGGCGATGATCTCGATGCGGTCATCTCGGAAGACACCCACACATGAGTAGGTAGTACCTAGATCGATACCGATGGCTGGGGCCATTATGACTGGAGGAAATGAGGAATATGAGATAGCGTGTTGGAAGGAAAATTAAGGAGTATTAAGAAGTCTCTTGAAGAAGACTTTTCGTTCTAGGAGGGTATTTCTTCGTGAATGTTTGTTCTGATGGTGAGAAAGAGGAAAGGCAGAGCCTGATCACAGAGATTTATGGAATTTGGTTGTTGTCAAAATTTCGCCAAGGCGAGGGCGGGACGCAGTTGGTAGAAGCATGAAGAAGTGCGTGGAACTACGGTGACTGTTCTAGCTGCAGGACTGGTTCCCACTCGAAGCTGCCGGCCTCTTCCAGCCGGCGCATGCGGTGCCTGGAAGTGGGCTGAGATGCTACCTGATGCATCGCTGGGGTTCTCTCTGAGCGCCTTGTCTCGTCATCTACGCTATAGGGAACTCTTGATGGGGGAAGTTGTCGCCTGGTGGTTTTTCGGTGGGTGAGGCATGGAAGCTGTCCCGCAGTTGGCCTGGTTACGTCATGGGCCAACCCACCAACCACAATCATTTTCGGTCAAATTCTACGACCACAAGGCTGAAGTGGGTTTCAAGGCCTGATTGGAGGGGCAACCAGGTAAAAGTCGCATGATGTTTGCACCTTCGATACCCGTCAGGAATCTTTCACGATGCTTCCATTTCCTGCGCGAACCTGTTCAACATGATGAAATTGGCTGCATTGCAATACATCATCCAATTCTTTCTTCTTCTGTTGGGATACGAGTTATCTTGGTATCCATACCACCAAACCAACCTCCGTTACCTTAGTTTCGACATCCCTACCAACGCTCGAAATTTCCTCCCCGCCAAAAGTGGTACTCAGCGAACATGCTACAAGCAAATGAAGTCCAGTAGACTGTGCTAGAGAGAATAGAATTTTGTGGAGGCAACTCTGTCTGCCATGTCCTTCCGCCCCGGCCAAGCCCTCTGGATTCTCATTCGTTCTTCCCCTCCCACATCTCATTCTCGTTACCCTCTTATGGTAGCCGCCATGAACCGAACTCGAGGGTAAGGTTAAAAGATCAGCAATATTTTCTCACAGTGATCATGCCACAAAATCAATTTCCTTGGGGTATACTACAAGTACAAAATACAGGAAAATACAAATAACTACGGTTCACTCTTCACGAGGCGAGCACGCGGAGATCCACAGTTGGGGGCATCATCTTCGAGAAAGCGAGTCCGCTCCATGCGTCGTTGGTTTGAATCTCACTGGGGGGGAATGGAAGTCTCTCTGATTCTCCTGTTGTCGAGCATATTCCGCAGTCTGAGCATGCTGGTAGTGTACCAATGACCGTAGCCGGCCATTCCACCTGATCGAGACATCAAAATCCGACCATACCGGGCCATTAGCACCTACCCGTCGCTAGGACCTGTTCAGTACCCATGTAATTGTACATCCAGGATTTATCTTGTGCGGATTAACAGAGCAAAGTTGAAATTTTCAAGAGGGTTCGGAAGGCAGTGCAATGGCCTGAAAGACCGTTAGCTTCACAACAAGAACTGGTCTGCAAGTCCGTGTTCTAAGTCTACGAATTCGTACTATTACAGCAACAA